TCTGGAATATGCCAGGAGCAATGGAAACTCCAAACTGCAAACGTCTTGCTCGGAAAGCTCCTTTGTGTGTTATTATCGATTGTGCATCAGCAGCCTCATCACCCACAGTTAACTGCTGGTAGGCTTGAGCCATATCCAACTTTGCAAATACTTTTCCTTTTGCCAAAGTAGTAAGAATTTGATTAACAGCTGGAATTTGATAGGGATGCTCTTGCAACGCTTTGTTGATTGTACATTTGTAGTCAGCACAGATTCTGACATCCCCATTTGGTTTCATCACCAGAACTATGGGTGTACACCACTTTGGGTGTGTTACGGGTTCAAGTATACCTTGTTCCACAAGACGTGTAATCTCAGCATCTATTTTTGGTCTGAGAGCTAATGCAATTTTGTGAGGCTTCATACGAATTGGGGGTACTGTTGTATCTAATACAAAAGAAACAGGAGGGCCTTTAAACATGCCAAGACCTTCTTCAAAACCTGCACTAAATTTATCAATCACATTCAGTAGAATATCTGTGGATACATTATTAACTCCAATTAATGAAATTCCTAATGGTTCAAACCACTCTCTACCTAGCAAATTGCTCTTTGTCCCTTTGTAATTATTAAACGTAAGTGTCCTCTGAATTTGCCAAGCCCCTTTTAACATCCACAGCCTGTTTGCTGTAGTCCACCAGATGAATATCACAAGGTACTATTGAAGGAGAATTATGAGGCCATAACAATGTAAATATCTCTTCTGAAATAAAAGAATTCAAGCCTCATTTGCAAGAGCTTCCTCTTGTGCAATAAGAAAAGTTAAATTCTGTCTTGCAAACAGTCTCCTCTGCAGTGCTTCATCTTGCACCCCATACACAAGCCTATCCCTTAACAAAGATTCTAAGCTGGTACCAAAATTGCAATTTTCAGAGAGCCTGCGCAGTTCTGCAAAGTATGCTGCAATGCTTTCACCTGGTTTCTGATTTCGTCTATTGAAATGGAAACGCCTCACTGTTTCAGATGGGGTGGGTGCTAAATTATTTTTTAACAGTGCCAGTATTCTTCAAATGAGTAGTCTTGTGGTTTAGCAGGAGATATCAGTGAGCGGACAGTATCAAACATCTTAGATCCAGTAGCACAGCTCTCTTCTGAATAGCATCAACCACCTTATTAGCTTCCAGGAAAAACACTAACCGCTCAGCATATGAGTCCCGAGAGGCTGGATTGTCCAGATCAAATTCCTCCATGTGTCCCAGAGAAGCCATGCTGGAGATATTTGTAGATAACAGAATTCCAAAAGAAAAGTTTTACTTCCTCACTCAGGGTGATTTTACTTCCTCTATATATATTCTGTAGTGTCCATTTACTGACATCCCATCCTCGTCGCCAGTTTAGAGTATTAGCGTGTTATATATTCACAAATGGCTCTTAGACATTGTAGTAAAATAGGATTTCTCTTTACCTCAGTACACACACATAATGACATAACACAAGAGAGACTAACAACAGAACAAGTGCATAACTTCACTATGCTGCCATCTACTGGAAGGTGGACTGCATAAACCCCTTCATAACACTAATAGAAGAAAACAGAGGAGTAGCAGTAAAAAAAATAATCTATATTTCTATATTATATATGTATATTTCTCCTCCTTTTTCCCTCTATTTCTCACTTGATCTGTAATTAAAGTTAGCATGTAATGGCTGTCCCCTTTCCATTCATCATCTTTTTTTCCATTAGGTATCTCTTTTTTTTTTTGGTGCCATGGGTGGAATTCAGAATCACAAACTGAAATGAACATGGCCATGTCCATTGCGTAGCTGGATTACCTGATCACCAGTTTGGATCACCTGATCGGCCCAAATTTGAATGAACTGCAGTTTGTAAGAAAATCTTCAAGTCTAGTGCAATATTAGCCATGTCATTAGTACCTATTAAATGGACACTATAGTCACCAGAACAACTACAGATTAATGTATTTGTTCTGGGCAGTACAGTCAGTCCCTGCAGGCTTTTTACAGTAAACACTGTCTTTTTGATGGCTGCTAGAGGGGCTTGCTGGGGCATTGCTACACAACATTTAGTGTCTCCACCCTCTGCATGGGTGAACTTTCCTTATAGAGATGCATTGATTCAATACATCTCTATGAGGAGATGCTGATTGGCCAGAGCAGCATTTGGCTTCCTTGGCTGGGATCATCAGGATTGACAATCTCACCAAATCCAATGCTTTCCTTAGGGAAATAATTGTGATTGGCTGAGATCATCACTTCTAACGATGTCAGCCAAGGAGGCAGATTGGGGCAGAGCTAGCACCAGCAGACTGCAATAAAGGTAAGATTTTGCTATATTTAGGAGGTTGAGGGATGGGGGTAGGGGGGCTAGATTGTGTTTTTACCACTATAGGGTCAGGAATATGTTTGTGTTTCTTGACCCTATAGTGTGCCTTTAATATCTTGGATATTTCTGTAGATTCACACTTCTCAATTGGGAATCATGTTGATAACCTGTCATTAAAACTTTAACCCAAATCTTCTAAAAAAACAAATCATGCCTAACCCTAACCCTTAACATTTGCTAAAGAAACAGAAAAAGAAACAAATGTTAATATCGGTCATTAACTATAGTGATATAGTTTAGATATTTGTAAAAATCTTAACGATAATATTATCCACTGCTCAGTTCTGTCTTCCCTTTTAAGTCCACCTATCTGGCTGGACTAATTTACAACTCATTATATATTGTAGGAAGCAACAAGTGCATGGGAATCCACAGAAACAAATGACAGCTCCTCAGGCAAAAATGGAATAAAAGCACATCTTTTCAAAAGGACTTTTAAAATTTGTACCACATATCCATCTCAGTTAATTCCACAGTCTGTATAATTCCTTATACTGCTTTCTTCTGTTATCGAAATGTGATAAAAGAGCTAAACTACAACCCCTTCATCTACGTGTCACTTTACTTGCCTGGTTCATAACTACTTCTCTGAATATATATTGCTGAATCTTTAGTCCAGCTGTCTGCATCTCCCTTCCCCCTTTCCGTACTTGGAAATAGATTGACAATCTTTAACATACAGAGCTCTACAACTGTGAAATATCCTTAGCAGGAAACATCAAACTATCCACAGACATGGAACTTCTGAGAAAGGTCTCTCTGTCTATCTACAATCAAGTAAAATCTATAACAACTGTTAGGTACTTATTATGTTTTGTCATGTGAAGATGCTTGTTATATCTGTTGTTACAATGCAATATTTTTCCTCAAACACACTTATACCCACTCACCAGGAAATTAATTGAAGAAGGTTTTGCTTTATTCAATCACAGTCCACAGGTTAAAATATATATAACACACAAAACAAACAGACAATAACGTGTCCAGAGAATGATAAATCATATAAGCATTGTTGGATTTAGCGCTTTACCTGGAACACAGCTATATCGAGTCCAGGGGGACCTCTGCAGCAGATATAGTTTTCTGTTTCATACATTCAACTAACTCATTTTATTAAAATCCCTGAACACTGAACTTTTATCTTGACCTAGCGACTCAATTAGCATTACTTTCTGTCTCCCCGCTGTGATTTCGTTATCTGTCCCTGGCCACTTTGATCCGGCTTTGTATAAGTTCCAAGTGATCTTTATTTGATATTAAAAAAATCACATAAAAGCAAAAAAAGAAAACATTAAAAATACAAAGCAGTAAGAAACCTCAATGGCAAAACAAAGAGGAGTGGAGATTACAACAGGTAATGCATTGATGATAAGTATTTAGCTTGAAATGTATTAAGAATTGTAAACTGCACAACCTTTTATTTGGGTTTCTCTGTTGCATGCTGCTTTTTTATTCTTTATATTTTTTACTCAATGTGATACGTTTTTTCAAAGCTTTATGTAAAAAGGTCCTGCACCCAATAAGGAATATTAGTAATACAATGGCTACAAAGTTACAAATCCAATTAAAACAAAGAAAAGAAAAATATAAACTTAGCAGAAGAACACAGTTGTATGCACTGCTGAAGAATTTGAATTTAACTCTGGATTTGATGTTGGGAGGTTGGAAACTCTAATCGTTACCAAACACTCAAAAAATTGTAAATACTACTGTTTAGTGTTATGGTTCCAACTTCCAGGCGTGCCCTGGTACCATGCCATTATTAGTCAACCTGTTATGGAACAATTTCTTACTTCTTACTTGGTGTTCGTCGGCTCCACTACAGCTACAGGGTAACTGAAAGCACTCTGTCTGAGATACGTCGACAATCTACAACTGACAATCTCAGCCACTCAACTGCAGGATGTAGCAGATGAAAAGATTTATAAGAGATCTGGTAACTGGATTCTTCTATACTATTGGTTTATAACCCTTGAGTCAGGACCCAAATTGGATCCTCATTTTCAGGGGATCCCCAGTGGTTGAAACAGACCTACCAATGAACTGTAAGTTGCCTACAATAAACCGTTGCAAGTCTGCCCTTTCTAGAGTAATGGTGTTATTTTACACTGGAAAAATCTAATGAAGGTGTTTCGGAAGAATGTATTTTGTCATATTATCTTTCACTTGAATAAAGGGTCACTGGGTAAGTTTTAAAATAGAGAAAACATGGATTACCAGCTGAATGACATGTACATAATTTGAGTCCTTATAAAAAATAAAGATTAAAATTACTCTTCTGGACTCAAAGTACACAACCTGAATCAAAGCAGAATACAGCAAGCAGTTGGCCTGTATATCTGAGTATGAGAGTATGTACTTACTGAACCAGGCAATATTGACTCCAAAAACAGCATAGAAGCTGAATCTGTGGATATGGGTACTAAGTGGTGTAACGGCACCCCCAGGCATAAAAGGGTTAAACTGCTATTTAGTAGATCTTCCCCTTCCAGAGACACAGGCACATCTACTGTAGACACCAATCCACCAAACCGGAGAAGCATATGAATACTGTAGTCAGCCGAACCGGAACCATATGAATGCTGAAAACAGCAGAATAGGAAAAACCATACAAAAGGTTTACACTCCTAGCAGTCGAACTGGAACAGCATACAATAAATCCCCCCCAAGAACGAGACAAAGCTCTGTGTTGAGGGTCAAGCAGTGAACAGACAGAGCTGTGGGTTTATTGTTTTTATATACACATTAGTACCACCCACAGGGTTTTGGAAAACAACCAATAAACACATACAATACACTCAGACACTCCCACACAAAATCCTCCCCTCTGCCTGTGAAACAATTACCTTACACAATGGGTAATGTAATTATCACAGACAGAGAAATACAGTTTTTCCACATTATTCATAACTTTAAAAGTATACATTACATTTTCAGAATCAGCATACTCCATATACAAACATATGTCAAAATCATCCAAATTGGTCCATTGGTTCAAAAGATAGATCGAAGTCCTTTGTGACTAAATGAAGCATGGCTTTTCTGCCCAAAACCAGTTCCACAGAGTCTTCTATCCTGGAGATAATTGGGAAGTAATCCAATTATCTCCAAGGACAGAGGCAAAACTCCATTGAACACATGGCAGCAAAAGACAATAAAATACATAAAAATATATAACTGTGCAGCTATTAAATAAAACAGGTACATTCAACATATCCCCAGATAGCTTAGATCTGAGTGCACATTATTACTGAATGGCGCTCAGATCACACACATACAGTTCAATTGCCATGGAGCCAAAGTCTTTCACATAGCCTTTCGTTATACGAATGGGCTCCATGGCATAGCTATCTGGGGTATCTCTATTCAAAAAGGGCAAGTACTGAATGACCCGGCTTTCGTCTCTTTGCAGGGGAAAATCAAGCGTTTCAACAATGGGCCATAGTCTAAAGGCAGCAGGCGGGCAACCAGGCTCCTCCAATGCACAGTGGCGAGATTGGTCTCGTCACAGGTGGGGATGTATCAAAGCAGCATAGTCAGGAAAGTGGTGCAAAGGTGGAGAAATTGAGAAATCAACAACAGAATGTGAACAGTGATTCCATTAGACTGTGTGGTAATCTCCCCACTTTTATAAATTTGCACAACCGTTTTTTTCTGATCAGGACAATTTGATAAATACCTGCCTCCAGGTCTGTGTGTACAGGCTTACAAGGTATGACAGCCGAGAAAAACAATCTCTGGAAATAAGCATTACAAATTTGCTAAAATGAAGACGCAAACTGATTAAATAGCAAAAATTGTATACATATTGCTAATCCCATCATAAGGATACAAACTGAACTTTATGTAAGAGAGAAACACTTTCTAAGTTTTATTAGTGATATCGCAGAAGGTCTTGATGGTAATGTATGTCTTTTTGCTGATGATACTAAGATATGTAACAGGGTTAATGTTCCAGGAGGGATAAGTCAAATGGCAAATGATTAAGGTAAACTCGAAAAATGGTCAGAGTTGTGGCAACTGACATTTAATGTGAATAAGTGCAAGATAATGCATATTGGACGTAAAAACCCAAGAGCAGAGTACAGAATATTTGATAGAGTCCTAACCTCAACATCTGAGGAAAGGGATTTAGGGGGTGATTATGATGACTTAAAGGTAGGCAGACAATGTAATAGAGCAGCAGGTAATGCTAGCAGAATGCTTGGTTGTATAGGGAGAGGTATTAGCAGCAGAAAGCGGGAAGTGCTCATGTCATTGTACAGAACACTGGTGAGACCACACTTGGAGTATTGTACGCTGTACTGGAGACCGTATCACCAGAAGGATATTAATACTTTAGACTTTAGAGAGAGTTCAAAGAAGGGCTACTAAACTGGTTCATGGATTGCAGGATAAAACTTACCAGGATAGGTTAAAGGATATTAACATATATAGCTTGGAGGAAAGACGAGACAGGGGAGATATGATAGAAACATTTAAATACATAAAGGGAATCAGCACAGTAAAGGAGGAGACTATATTTCAAAGAAGGAGAACTACCACAACAAGAGGACATAGTCCTAAATTAGAGGGGCAAAGGTTTAAAAATAATATCAGGAAGTATTACTTTCCTGAGAGGGTAGTGGATGCATGGAATAGCTTTCCAGCTGAAGTGGTAGAGGTTAACACAGTGAAGGAGTTTAAGCATGCATGGGATAGGCATAAGGCTAACTATAAGATAAGGCCAGGGACTAATGAAAGTATTTAAAAAATTGGGCAGACTAGATGGACCGAATGGTTCTTATCTGCCGTCACATTCTATGTTTCTATGTTTCTATGTAAGTGTTGTTATAACAATCAAAATGTATAGAATAAAGTTCCTCTGGTTTATTTTAGCAAATGTTATTAACTAAACCATAGATTGTTGGGGATTTAACGGGGAATTTAACAAAAATTGCTGAACAAGAAAATTACCCATGTCAGCTTTTTCGAGGTCGGCTAGTTTAGCCTCAAATTTGCAATCCAACCAATTCACAGTTTAATAAATGACCCTTTAGATCTCCTTCTATTCCTCACATATCCCCAAGAGGGGAGGCAGGCCTTCTAAACTTATGTCCAAATTGTGAGAATCGGTTGGACAGATCATTAAAAACAATTGTGACTTTTTTATCAGTCTCAGAAATATGAGATAATATATTATTTCATAATGTTAATACATAATACAATTTCCTCATCTACTCTATGCCGAGTTCAATTCTACAACTAAGTTTTATGTTTTTATCCTAAGCATTTTGTTTGTTTTGATCTTTTGTCTTCTTTGAAAATATAATATTTTATCTCTTACTTAAACTAAAATGATATCATTTAAAAGAAAAAAACACGGCAGCACAAAGAACAATAAACAATGTCTAAAACAAAAAAAAATATTTAGCATTATTTTATTTTCCAGTTTGAATACTTTCAAATTAATAAAAATCTTTTCTTAATGATTTACTGACTTCTCTGACAAGAATTTCACATTGACCTCTGAAACCAAAAAATACTGTATAATAGCAGAAATGTATTTGAACCTTTTGTAAATAAAATATGTTGCTGCTTGCACAGGTATACTTGCACAGGCTATTAACATAGCAGCATTAAGAATTTCTAGATTAAACAGACTGTGCAATAAAGGAAGATTACACATTATATTTCTCTCTACAGAAAATATGTAGGGAAACTGTGTCACATGTAGGGGAGATGTGACCTGGGTCTACATAAACAAAGTGATTTAACTCCTAAATGACAGTACATACAGAGCTCCACAGGAATAAAATTCACAGTAACGTAAATGTATATTAGTGTGTCACCGAGCTCTTCTTAGTTAAGAACAAGAAAAAGATTGTAATGTCTCAGTTTGAACATCAGGTCAATTCACGATCACTTGAAACTTGTCCAAAGCAGTCACATAACATCTAAAACATAGAAGCAATGAGGACAACTATGTAAAGAAAAAAAAATGAGAGAACGCATGTAAAAAAATTTTATTGTGTTTTTACTATATATTGGGGCTGATGTGTACTGTGGTCATTGCTGCCACCCAGGAGTGATGGAAGTGAGCACAAGACGTATCTTTTTGTATTTGTATTCACTTTTTGTATCACACGGCTTTGTTACAATGCTGCCGCCCATCCCATGTGTTCCCTATTAAGGGTTAATAAGGGTATAGGGGTGTATGTAAAAAATACCCCTCTCTGTCTCATTAGAGGTATCTTTGCCAGAAGCTCAAGGAAGCAAGGTGAAGGGTCAGTGTAGGACCCGCTTAGGGGAGTCTGCCTTGACGTTGGCAGGCGGGCATTCCCTCCAATGGCCATTGGAGTAACTAAATGACCTCCATTTATCTAAATATACATAGGGATTAAGGAGAGAGCACAGGTAACTTTTTTTTCTTTGGTTTTTACTATATATTGGGGCTGATGTGTACAGTGGTTGTTGCTGCCACCCAGGAGTGATGGGAGTGAGCGCAGGACTTATCTTTTTGTACTTGGCTATAACCGATCAAGTCCTTCCTGTGGAAGTTGATGGGAAACATTGAGCTGTCAGGATTTTTTCTGTAAGGCCTAAAGTTAGCAAAGTAAAGTTCCTCGGTAGTAGTGCCACAAAAGACAGCAATTGCTCACCCACCAGATACTACTATTAGCGATGGCTGGGCTGCACACTACTATCTGCTTGCATGTGTTGTACTCCATTACAAATGTATCCATTAGAAGCCGTAAACAATCCCACTTTTAAAATTACATTTAGTATGTGTTACTAAATACTCATTTGAATTCAGCTTTTCTCTGCATCAAATGCCAGAGAGTTCATTAGTATTTAGTTTGGCTCTCGTAAATCATGCTGTTTTATGATTTCACCAGATAATAAAATGGCCATCACTGTCTAGTACCCAGTGTGTGTATATATATATATATATTCTCATTTTATGTCCCATTTCTATCTGAATAAAGATTAGTAAATGTTGGATACAACTCGCAGCACTTGGTATTGCATTGGGCTCATTAACTCATACTTTAGAATTCAGACAGACCACGGACACTTTTTCACCGAGAGACTACATCCAGTGTAGGTATTATTCAACCAGTTATGTTTACTTGATTCATAAACAAACAAAATTGTCATGGTAACGGGTCTTTTTGATTTTCCATATGCCAGAAACTCTCTGTCATGCTAATTTACATGGTTTTTTTTTTTATAGAAAGAATGTAGCTAATGTATATATATATATATATATATACGTTGTAAAGTTAATATTAATACACTCATAGTACTATATATACATTTAAAAAGGATTTTGCTACGTCTCTCTTAGGTTCCCTAACAACCAGGTATATTGATGGACATTTTCTCAAGGCAAAATAATTAGTATTATAGAGTAAACAGCTACATATCGAGTATTTCATTTGTTTCCATGGTGACTGATCGCTCCTTATCAAAAGACATCTGTCATTAGCAACTTGACTTGAGATTACTTTAAATAGAATAAAATGTAACTTGTACACTCGGCTGGCCAAATTGCTAACAGATTTATGGATAAAAAGTTATTTAACGTATTATATGTTTGACTTTACTGCAATGTCGTTGGTATAGCAGTAAAATCTAACTGTGCCTAATGAAACAGTGACATCCTGTAACTTCCAGGAAATACCTGCATGTTAGTAACTTAGAGATTTAATTTGCTAATGAAGCTCTGTACCCTACAAGTCTAAACTTCAGGTAGGTATACCTTTTAATCTATATACTTGCTGGAGAATTTGTTATCTCAGTGTATAGTTTGAATAATAATTTCTAAATGTTAACC